TCACACCGGATAGATCCGGACGATGTTGAGACGGTGAATTTTCTTCCTCTGGTAGTTCCTCATACTCGGAGAAATCCGAGAGTTCGAACGTGAAGTGCGTAGATGCACCTGAGTCAAGCACCCATCCAATAGGATAGCGTGCATGCAACTTGTCATGAAGAGATTTCTCACGGTCGATGTCGCGTACGACCAATGCCTTATCGATGCAGATATCACACCACTGAGAACTTGAATGTACACATTGTCCATTCATTACGTCTGCAGATACATGCGATGAATAACTACCGACTACATATGGTTTACCTGTAAAGGATTTAGCACCAAGTACGTTGTCAGCGGCATCGAAAAAACTGGTTGCGCACCAGACCGACTCGCAATCGAGTGACACCGCCCGTTCTCCGCCCTGTTCGGACGGCTCCTTGAGCGACATACCCTCGAACTCCTCGATGTCGTCCTCATAGCCGTACTCGGCGACCTGAACCGGAGTGGGCGCCATGGAGCGGCGAAGGTCCTCCTTCTGTTGCTGGTACTCCGCGTACGCCTCTGCATTGAGCCAGCCCTTGTGGCCGGTCGCAGAGTCGTCGACATAAGAACCACCGCCAGCAAGGCGGTCACCAAGCTTCTGACGCTTCTTGTAGTCAGAGAACTTGGTGCGCTTGGGGGGACCTAACCCAGACACGTATTGGTCAGAGTCGGAAGCGCGCGGAGGGGTAACCGACGGCTTACGAGAAGGCTCCTCTACCGGCTCGATGCGAGCCGACAGAGGCGGGGACGCTGAGGGGCCCATGGAGAGCCGCTGAATAAGCGGCGTCTCCCCTGCGAACGCAGGCAACTCGGCGCGCGTTCCCTCGAACGTGGGCGCAATGCCCTGGTCCCGCTGACGCTTGAGTGCGCCTGCGGTTCCATGAGGAGGCGCCGGAGCGCTGCTGCGGCCTTGATAGGCCGTCGCAGGTTGGTGGGACCGCTTGCGCGGATCGGGGGTTGGTTCGGAGAAAACCGGAGGAGAGTATGAGGGGCCAGACGGCCCGGAAGCGACGTGCGCGACGTGGTAGACGGGAGCCGGCGTGTTAAATGTTGCCGAGTAATTGGCAGCGGCGGGTGCGGCACTCTGCGGCGCCGGAGATGACGTCGCATTGGCAGGAGCCGACGATGAAGCCGCGTTAGCGGCCGCCGGCTTCTGTTGCTGCTGCTGTTGCTGCTGCGCCTGGTGCTCCTTGCGCTCCTTCTTGGAAGGACGCTTCTTTTTGCCGTCGGATGACGACTGGCCGTTGTACTGCTTCGTACCGGAGCTGGCCTTGTTGGCCTGCTCCTCCTTCACCTGAGGCGCCTTCTTCTTCTTCTGCGATGCGGAGCGTAACTCCCAGTCGCTGCGGATGTGCGTCATGACGAGCTCCTTCATCAGAGTAGCAAGAGAAATGGGGACTGTGGCCCCAGCGCCGGCGGTGACTTGCGCCGCCGTACTCTTGTACTGAGTGGCGTTGATGGCGTGCTTGGCGGCTTCGTAGCCGCTGGGGATCTTCGAGAACAGGATGGCACCGGCGAACTCGCCAGGCACCTTCCCGCCAAGGGAGGTGTATCGGTCAAGGGAGGCGACGATCTTGGCCATCGCCGGGTTGGGGTCGGTGTCGGCAGGGATCTGGGTGTTGAGGGCTACCTTGAGCTCGTTGATCGCGGTACTGATACCGCGCGCTTGCGCGCTGCCGGCGAGCTTGTCGAGGATCGCACGCGCCTCGTCCAAGCCCTTAACAATCTCGCGTTGATCGTGGCTGAGCGCCTCGAGAATTTTGCCGACCGCCGTGTCGTTGTGCGTCTCCCATTGGTTGACCTCCTTGAAGTCCGAAGTCAACGTCTTCATCTCCGCGCGGGTGTTGCGCAGAGCCCATCCGGCCCCTGAGGCCCGGATATGGTTTTCCATGCGGGTACGCCAGGAAAGGATGTCGGTACCGTTGTAGATACCGCAGATCTGAGCGGACGTAGAGAGCGTGAGGTTGCCAGAAGTAGACATGTTGATGAATCTGGGGTAAAGATAACGTCAGCGTGGGTACACTAGACGGATTACATCGTGCCCAGGCGAGTCCGCGGTAGACTAGCGGTCTAGACCTCCAGAGCCGCTCGAGACCCGAACCGGTAAAGGTGCATGGGTTCTCACGGATGTGGGAAAGGCCCTTCACACATGACAGGAGGGTGTCCCCTTGATTCCTGCCGCCCTGGTGTTAACCAGTGGGCGAAGGGGAAAACCGCTTCGGATGAACCGTCGCGGATTTACTCCCCCCCATGGCATACTAAGCCGCCTTGAGGTACTAGGCTCCGCCGCGCCCCGCGGGGCTCATAACCTGACAAAGGACGAACGCGAGTATAGCTGATGGAGTCTATAAGAGCGCGAACTCACCGGGCTGTTAGTGTTGAAGGTTGAGTGAGTAGCTTGGTAGCTGGTAGGCTGACGATGGTAGTCGTTCGGTGGAGAGAGAAGACTTAGATGATATTCATGGTAGCGACTGTATATATATGACAGGAGCGTGTGAAGTCACTACCGTATTCGTAACTACTATGCAGTCCAAGTCCCACGGTAATGTAGGACGGCTACGTAAGCAATGAACGTGGCCCTATGCGATGAACGCGGAGCCACACGAACGCGTAAGCGCTTAAGGTACCGCTAGGATACTAAGCGCCTGAATAGACGTATGAAGGCGGTGTTTACTTGTAGACCTCGTAGAGGAACATCGC